TTTTCTATATCACGACCTTATCTTAATCATAAAGTTTGCGGACGGACAGACCGACAATCACAAAAACCTACAAACCGGCAAACTGACACATTAAGTTACGGCTTTATAAATAAGAGCGATAAACCATGATCTCTCTTCGCTTAGATTATGACTCACTTTTGAGGAAAAGCGCGATAACGTCCTTTCCACAATTATGTTTTGGCTGGGTCACCCTCAAACCACTGCTATTATGACATAAATGCTCACATTAGTTATGAAATGACATGAATCATTGTTGGCGGCGACATTCACAATTCCCTTAATGCGCTCCACAACAGCAGTATCGGCAAGTCATTTCCAAGTGCCCATAGCACCAGTTTTTCGAGATTTCGAGCAGCGATGGGGATTCATAAGTGCATGGGCCATCCTCTGAACATCATGGTGACCACTGTAGGCAAACAGTCGCATCGAACCTGCTTTGAAGCAGGCTTCTTCTTCGTTACCACGAAGAGTGCGAAGGAATCTTTCACAAACCGGTATGAACCCTGAAGTTGCCTATAAGGAAACTAAACGAGGCAGCTTTTGAGTTTGACCAAGTTCGTGGGTGTGCTGTGTCAACACAGTGCGACTGTTCGGAGTCAGGACCCAAAACCTAAGTTAATGGGTCGCAAAATCCTGAGGCTTGAAAACTTGGACAAGGTATTGACATAGGGCGGTAGCTGCAGTTTGTTACGACTATGCAGGTGAGCGACGACGGGCTTGAAAGGAGAACGTGAGATTTTCGGAAGTCTTGAGCGAGAAGGATTTCGCTAATGCAAAAAAACTATTACCCAAGGGGTTCAATAAGCCTCAGCTCTCGAAGACATAGGATTATTGTCTTGCGTCGGAGGACAAATTTATATCCTTAGAAAAAGTTTCAATTGTCTTCAGATAATTTACGGAGTACCTGCAACACACAACAAGAGGTACTTAGTATATACAGGCTACACAAGTTGTCTTGCCTTCTACGGAATTATAGGAATTCAACAAACTTTTCCTGAGGATATCAAAGTTCCTTCCGGAATGGTACGACCGACTATAGGTTGCCTGGGTGGATCAATTAGAATCAATTGCCACAAAATATCTGCTCCCACTTGACTCGTACGTGTGAGCGTTTCGGAACGTTGCATATAAATAACCCTTGAAAGCAATTGGAGTAATGGTACCATTCAGCGTAGCTGCGCTTGACGATGACCAGCGAACCATCAAGCTTTATGAAAATTTCCAGAAAAATCGTATAGTACAGGTACATCCACTGCTGTAATTTCAATAGCAAGGTGGGGATAGGTTTAGCAATAGCATAGGAACACCAGCAAATTCAAAATAAATTGTATTTTGCCCTGATGAATAAGCAGTGAAAGTGCATGTGGTCCATAAGGAAACAAAGGGTTCCCCTCAAGTAATCGTGTAACATGCTAATACTTTCCATGAGGTGCTGACACGGAAGAGGGGATAAGGTTTTAGAGGCACGTGAATCTTTGATCTCGTGGAGGTTCTCGATGAAGACAATTTGGTTCAAACAACTTCGTTTGTTGTCGATAATAAAGAACCAATCAATAAGCTCGGAGACACAGAATCATAGCTCATCTTCTTTGGAAATAACAAGCCGGTTCCTTTCGGGAAAAAGCTGAGTTTTCTGTTCTAAACACGGTCTTATGTTCTACGATGTGCAGTACGCCAGTGCTCCTTCTGCCTTCACAGAATGTCGGTGTTTTTCGGTTCTGTGGAGTACGCCTTATAGGAAATTAAATTGGAAACAATTACTCGCAAACCATACGAACACAGGGGGTTCGCAGTATTCCAGCTCACTGGCGTTGGCGAAACAGCGTTGCCATTGGTAACGAGTGACCTGCTTGAGCTCACCCTACCACACTCCGCATTTTATTAATAAACTCAATCGCTTAATCCTCTAATACATCTATGTACCTGCTGTATTTTCAATGAATATACTTAATTAATCGAAAACATAATTTCGCCTCAAGGAGAGTCTGCATGAATTCGTAATACAGTCTCGCTTGCCTCTTTCGAATGCGATAAACTCTTTTCAACCTTTCAGAAGAGCTGATACACACCCAGATTTAAGAGTCACGAAGGGGATGAGCAGTTTATTCAATTTAATTCCCTCGTTGTGAAATCTGATAGCCTTACAGACTAACAAAACACGTTTACCAACATAATTGAAGGGTTGCTGCTCATCCCTGCTTTTGATCGTTACTCGCTTCCTTCTGTTTGAATGTTTTTTTTGGAAGGAGTCGATTTTTTCAAATTCCCAAGTTGATTAGGG